AAAAAATCACTTAACTTCATGGTAAGACTGATTTTTGAAACAATAGCAGGTAAGATTGGTCTTTATATATTTGAGCAATATTTTCATATTTGCAGTTTTAATAACAATTTCTTTTTTCTCTTATTCTTTATTGTTTTCTCTTATTTCTTTCTTATTTTTTCTTATGTTTTCTTTTTTCTTACTTTTTTCCTTTTTTCTTACTTAATTTTTTCTCTTAATTTTTTATTTTTTCTCTTACTTATTTTTCTTTTTTTTCAACAGGAGTTGATAGGTTAGCATATCGCCTGGTTCATACTCCTCCCTCGTCTATTGTTGAACAGGAAAAGCGGTTTATCCTCTGTTTCCTCTTTAGGAGTGGACTTCTGATTTCTTCTAAAGTCTTCTAATTCTCTTTCACTCATAGTAACACCTTGCATCTTAGTGGCGTTATCACCTTGCTTGAGATGAAATGATTAAAAAATGTCATGCCAATAAATCTTTCAGGTATATTTAAATTAAAACCCCATCTATTTTTTTTTTCATGCATTCATTTGGAATTTTTCCATAGCGGAGTTTTAACTGGATAAGCAAAATTAAGCAAATCAGTCAATCAATAATATATCTTCTTTTATATATACGGATTTGTTTGTACGAAAATAGGTTTGTCATAAGAATTGTTTCGGATTGAATTTAATTTTGAAAAGCTTTTAAAGAGAAGGTAGAAATAAAGTCTCCTTAGAGCACATAGACTGAGCTGGGGTCTGAAGAGAATCTTACGTTACAAGTAGAAACGTATTGATATAGTAGGCGTAGGTTTTGTTTAATCATAATGCTTATCGGCTACTTCTTTCAGTTTTTCTCTTATTTTGAAAGCTTTCCTTAACTACAACGTTTGATAATTTAAACCTCTTGAAATTCTCTATACGTTTTACTTTTGTGCTTAAAACTGAAAAGGTTTTCATACCCCCCCCCAAAAAAAACAAAACAAAAAACAATTTACTGGAATTAATTCGAAGTGTAAAATTGCATCGTGGCCAGAGTATTTTGACATACATCCAGAATAACGTCATAGCAATCAGATATTACTTTTACATATTTAAGACATATCAATATTTATCCAATGTCGAAATGATCTACAAGTTTAACATAGCTTAATTACTGTTGTCAATTATTAATGAAGGACAAATCAATTGGACGAATGGGGAAATAGTCAGAAGGCGGAAAAGTATTTCGACAATGATCGAAAGAATGCTGAAAAAATCGGAATTAGTAATAATTACTGGAAAGAATAAAATAACGCGAATTAAGGATATTCTTTATAAAAATGTTTATATTTTGCAGCAACCCTAAATGATTTCGCTCTTGTTATTTAATAAACATATGTTTTTTTCCCATTTAACTAGATAATATATATATATATATATATATATATATATATATATATATATATATATATATATATAACATATACTGATATACATATAATTTAATGTATATCAAAATAAACATAAATATTTCTGTTAACAAAGTGCTCAATAGTTATCTAGAGCGAGAATCACTGCATCAAAAGTATTCTTAAGTTCAGGATATTTATCGAAGAGTTTCACTGTCTTTGTTTTCTTAGGATTATAGATCTGAACCCTGAAGAATGAAACAGCGAAACTCAAAGTGGGTATTCTTTTATAAATACTGTACTTTTAATATTCTTTTGTTTTATAACTGCGTTGCTATAGGAAACTCTGACGTTATTTGTAGTCAATGTTTAAAAACTACTGCTCCAAATGTCTTCCTCTGAATCGTTAGCCATGCAGTAAATTCTAGGCGCCTATATCGAGGGTTTTGCCTATAGATCTCTATCGGACAGCAAACGTTTCGAATTTTTCGTATTCTGTATCGTAAATATTTTCTTCATGACCTTACTTAACACTCAGTACCCGCCACTATATTAACCCTTATTTCTTTACATTTGGCGAGAGATATAGGAACCCTATCCATGGTGATTTAATAATACCATCAGTTTTTAGTTAATTAATAATTGTCAATTAACTGTAATTATTGTAATTATATTGATGATATTTGATAGTAGTTAATATCAGATTAATAGACCCAAACATTTCAACACAGAAAACAGAACGATCATCTCTTATTTTCAGTCTGAAGAATAATAAAACCTAACAAATATGAAAGTCGACATTTTTACGCTTTTATTCTCCCAAAATTATTAATGGCTTATTAATATTAACTCTTAGGCCGGAGAATAGAACTACACTCACGCATTGGTGTACAAGACTTGCTTCTTTCCCCGAAACTGTGTAACTGTCAGTTGAGTGGTAACTTTTTATTCTAATCTAAAGGAAGAGGTTGCATTTGAAATAAACTCATGTTGAAGAAAATACAAATGTTCATAATTTATATAGTCTCTAATCATAACGGTCTGGTCTACTCGAAATATAAAAATGAATTTTTCTTAAAAAAGAAGAAAAAGACCAAAATAGATAGAAAATCAAATCAAACAAAGTAAATCTGGTCATGATGTGACATTACCTTTTTTTAACCGTAATTCAATCATTATAAATATCTTTACAATAATCTTAGGGAATAAACGAGACATTTTACCTTTTCGTTGGTTAAAAGAAGTAATTTATCTCAAAAATGAAATTTTCAGTTTATTACGCTGATTTACAGTTTATTGGTATTTCGTACGAAATCTATGTGCATTTCACATGATTATCATATATATGCTAAGCACCAAGTGAAAAAATTAGTGAAAATTTCGATCTGGGAGGAGAATGAGCAAAAATTCCTTTTCATTTTATTCTTGGTATTCAGAACATCTCTTTCGACGCAGAAATGGAAGACTGTGAAATCTTGAGACCAAAAATCAAACACAATAGAATAACTGAGACATCGAAGAAAATAAAGAAAGATAAATCCTGTGTAAATAAAATATATTGTCACGGAAAACATTTACAAAATGATGACACTCTGAATTATCACAAAGGAAATTGAAATATAAAGACCTTGCCATTGCCTGAATTATGTCACAATGAAGATAACCAGCTAAAAAGTGGAAATTTACAACAAAGGAGGAAACAGTAAAGACTACAAAAAATATTGACTGTTTATATGTCATTAAGAAAGCTTCTTTTCTATGATTCTGCAATTTCTTTTAGATATTACCACAAAATGCACTGCAAATAGTAAAACAGACGAAATAATTTGTCTGAATTTCTAGGACGAAGAGTTTATCATTATTTATACTAAATTTACATTCAAATTGCTGTTGTTATCATAACGTTTCCGACATTGTATGTATATTGATCAAAGCAGTAGCTCCGGCCTTCATCAGGTGTATATCGATCCGTGTAGTACATCTGATGAAGGCTAGAGGGTACAACTGCCGAAACGTTGTCATAACTACAAAGATGAGGATAATAGCCCCAATGTAAATAGTGTATAAGATGATATTTACCAAAGAAATGCATCTCCAATGATTTAACAACAAAATGTATTGTGAGTTATTTACAAGTGGAATGCATTGTATCTTTAAAAAATTAATTGAATATTTTCTACAGTAGAGACAAATAGTTTTTTTTATAACATTTCATAATCTTTATTGGATCAAAACAAATAGGATGTAATTCATCAGTTTAGAATAAGTCGTGAAATTTGGCAATTTAAAAGGCATTCGTTAAATTAATTTCAATTCATTAAACGATGAAATTATCTTTACGAAAGTGGAATGAATTTAATAAAGTAAATTCCAACAGAACAATTTACGAGAACAATATATAAAATTATTTTATTCATAGGAAATTATTTCTTGTAAGCAAATTCTCGTTTAGAAAGTATATTCTTCTTGGGTCTTTATAACATTGTTATTTAAAAAATTAAATTTAAATAACGTCGAGAAAAATATTTTAACTTTTGTGAACTCATTTGATGATCTTCAAAGCTATTTTTTATGTTTATTTATTTTTTTTATATTTACTTTTGACTAGGAACTAAAATCTTACGCAATAAAACAAAGCAAATATATTTGTCATTACAATACATTCGAAATAATTATATCGAAGAATATCAGAATATAATATCAGAATATATGCCTAAGTATATCAGAATATAAACAATAAGAACGTTTACTGCTGATATATATCCTACATCACTGATTTATCTGCCAATGAAAATACAAGATTTTTGATATACAATTGATATGCAATTAAAATTTGGGAGGAGGTAAAACTTTCAATAGGAAGGAAATAATTTTACTGAAGATCCTAATTTTAAGAAAGCAAACCTTTTTATAATGTTCTATCATCTAATGATAGTCATAATGGTGTAGCACTTGTGAAATATATATTAACACCTGATTGTCACCTAGCAAAAATGTCCTAGGGTCAGTTGCATAGAAGCCGCGCGTTAGTTTTACTTTTAACGTACTCTTCAATAGAATTTATTAATTTGTTTGAATATAAATATTCCGAAGCCAATAACTCATAAAAAGCGCAGAAAATCCCTTCGTGTACGCAAAAATATGCATCCTATCAAGTGCCATCTTGTTTGTTTCAGTGACTTTTAGAAAATTTTTTTGTAAATATTTTACCTGACCTCATATTCTGAATATGTATTTGAATAATTTCGACAGTTACAGATTTTTTCATCACAGGGAAAATAGGCAATAAAACTCCGAAGTAAGAGTGGGAAGCAATAACATGACAGAAACTACACTTGACAATTATCTACACTACAACAATTTCGATTATTAAATAGGGCAAAATCTATGTCATGTGATAACGCAGGTGTAAAAGAATTGTCATAGAATCTATTTTTTCCAAGACACTTTTCAAATCTCTCGCCGTTGTCACAATTTATTTTCTACGTGAGTACGTATATTCATAATGTGTATTTTAAATGTGAATATGAACAAATCGCGTAACACATTGGATTTTAGCTTTTGTTCTCTTATTTTAAATCGAGAAGAGCCGAGAAAGCAACGTAAATGAGGAATTGCGGTCCAATGTTCACGAAATTACATTGAAATTTGTGTAACCCAAGCTCTGGTCTTTGCGTTGATCTTCTGGAATAATGTCTTCCAGGCCCGGGATGATGTGAATCATGTCATCAAGGCTGGAGTTTTCTCGAAAGAAGAGGTAGATGCCAGTCACTCCAGTTCCTTCGGCTAGTAAAAAGCTACTACTGGCCAAGAGAAATGACCACGAGTACCAATACCGAATAGTCGGGTTCTTAAGTTTTGCTCCTGGTAATGGAGCCACTTCGTCATTCACTGCCGAGATGAATAGAATCAAGCCGACAATCATGGCGAGTCCTAAAAAAGAAGTTGAAGGAGAATTGTATAAATCATATTTTTTAAATATAAAAAAATCATTCATTACTACGAGAAATTCACTCAAGGTAGAAAGTTTCTGCTAAAATAGTTACGATGAATAAGGCGTGTGATATGAATGAAAGAGGAAGTTTATGAGGATAGATTGAATATTGACCCTTGTCTTGAATAGATTAAGACTGTAGCGTTCATGGAAGCATCAGAGTAAGAGTCTGTCCAACAAAGTAGCAGTTCTTAGGGAAAAGGCTGTCGGAGTGGAAGTTTTTTCCTTACATTAGAAATATAGAGAGAAGGAGGGTGATTTGAGGGGGTGTAAGTAGCTTGTCCTAGTTACAAAGGTTTGAACTGGTGGAACTAAAGAATGGCGTTTATTTGAATATTTGCCATGTAAATAACAACAGGGGAGCGATAAGCCTGCGACTATGCGTCTGTGAGAAAGAATTTGCAGAGTGCTGACTGCATATTCCTCCGCAAAACAGGGAGGATTGAAAAGTTGCTGTTCACATGTCACATGTAGCAGCAATACGACATTGTTTATCTAATTTGACTATTTTTAAGGTCATGTCACCCCAAGCAAAGCAATAAAGACACTAAAATGCAAGGGTTACTGTGGGTGAAAAAAAAAAAATATGAGAAAAAGAAAGTACCACCAAGGAAAGAGAGGACAATAAAAGAAGGAAAATTAAAATAAGATGACTGCTGACATTACATTTAAATTCCCGAAGATCAAAGTTGACCGAAAAACAACAAGCTGGAAGAGAGTTCCACAAGCAAGAAATGCAAGCATTGGACCCACGGTTACATCTAGGCATCCCAGCAGTAAAATGGTGAGATCTGACCACCAGTCTAGTAGTAACCTTAAATTTATAAAATCTACGTAGCAAAAGGGAAAGCTCATCAGAACATTTACCATGAAAATATTTATAGAAAAGGCATAGGGAATCTATGTTACGGCACTGGGAAAGTGATTGAAGATGTCAGGTCAGGACCAATTATATATATATATATATATATATATATATATATATATATATATATATATATATATATATATATTATATATTAGCAGTGTATTCACATAGAAAAAAAGATATCTCTTCTGATTTGAAGGAATATGTAATGGTAAAGTATAACATGAGTCAGGTAATTCCCAGAGCTGCTTATTTTCCTCATGGATAATATACTTGCGAATTCGACGGTATCTCTGTAATTGCCAAAAGAAATGTGCTTCCTGAACTGGCTTATGTTCTCTCTAGACTCTACAGTAAATGCTTTGCTGTTCCTTATTGGAAATCCACATTTGCATTTAAGAACTCTAGTGAAGCTCGAATTATCGCGCTGATTAGTCTTTTATCTCTTTTGGGAAAAGTACTAGAGTCTCTAACCAATGCTGAATCGGTTAAACATCTCACTTCACACGGCCTTCTTTCGGATAAACAGTAAGGCTCTCGTTTCTCCTGGTCTACTGCTGATGTGTTAACGGCTATTACTAAATTTGTCTATCAGGCTTTACATAAGAATCTCGGGATGTGGCATTAGATATCTCGAAGGCGTTCGACTGGCCTTCTTCACAAAGTCAAAGCCTACGGTATCTCTTGAATATTTTGCTTAATGCAATCGTTCCTAACAAATCACATCGTGTTGAATGGACATACTTCATTTCACATTATGGAGAAAATTGATAAACGGATTTGTAATGACCTGACATCTCTACTTCAATCACTTTCTCACCGACGTGATGCAGCTCCCCTCTGCCTTTTCTATAAATATTTACACACACACACACACACACACACACACACACACACACACACACACACACACACACACACACACACACACACACACATATATAGGAGTTCCGCTTGAGGTCTGGAGTGACATTGACACACCCAACAAACATTCAAATCATGGGGATAACAGTTAACTGTGTATCATTGAAGAATATAACGAAAGAGAAATAAAAAGTGAATAGTCTGGAATGGAATGCTTATACAAATTGTTTTGAGGAATCATTAAGAAAAGATTAAGACAAGAGCGGATAAAAACGAAATGAAATACAAATACGAATTTAGAAAAAAACAATCTATATTATTGAGATAATATTCGTAGGAAAATTCTAGAAAAATCGCCTGTAGTTGTGCTCGCTTTAGAATCACAAAACTGCACACACCAAAATTCTGCATGATAACAAAGAAAGAAGCTTATTATTCAGGATAATGAAAATTCACTTTCCCATCGCCGTAAGATTGCCTCTCTGTGTTTTATCTTTCATGACAGTTGTTCGTATGAGTTCTTCACTATGGTACCTAGACTTTTTAATTTAAGCACAGTACTAGACTGGCGTCGAGATCTCATCAATTTACAATTGAGCTGGCGAGATTTATCCGTAAGTTCTATGCTGTTTCTTTTCTCGCACTTCCCGTTTGTTGACCTCCTTTTCCGGCCCCATGCTTTCGAGCCAAAAATCTGCAAAAATTTAAATGCAATGTCAATCGCTATTCACTGTCCTCCTGATTACTCTTTTCTCTTCCCGCTCATTATTAATGTTTCTGTTCCTAATTCTTCCATACCCTGTAATACCATGTGTCTTAGTGGCTTTACTGCCTTGTATTGGGTGATACCGATTTAAAAAAAATTCATAATGAAACTTATTTTGAATTTCTAGAGAATCAACTTCACCTTCCGTAAGAATGATGGAAAGAAACCTGGAAGTTACAGGAAATTGAAATTTTAAATATTTCCATTGAACGATGTAAAACAAAATAAATAAAAATTGTAAATAAAATTGTAACTGTGTATCCAGTTGATAATTTGCATAATACAAACAAACAATAATAATCTTTAATGTTTTACCTGCAATCACGAATAATATAGATGCGAGTAAAACATGTTTTTCCTGACGAATACTGCTGACAATGCCAACAACAACTGAAAGCAGGACAAGAAGGAGAGCAGCAACAGGAAAGGCACATGTTGAATTGACAGATACTGAAACAACAACAAGAAAAAAAAAAGAAATTAAAAAAGTTCAAGTCATTTTCGAGTTGATCTTGTGAACTTCGGGCAAAGTATTTGCAGTAAGTATTATGCATAACATGCGAAAATTATTAATTAATTATTAAACTAATTATTACTTGTCAGGTCTTTATAAAACGAAATTAAATTTAACGCTGACGAAAAAATGGAATGGTATGATATTTTTTTGTTTTTTCCTCACATAAGCACTATTTTGTAATTCCGTGTAATTAAATATTTCCTTATTTCGAGAAGCTGTTTTTTTTAAAGAAATAATAATGACATTAAAAAGAAGAATGAAATTATATTGTATGAATGTTTTATGCTTCAAAATGTTACAGAAAGTAAAAAAAAACTCATACATTCAAAAGATTATAAACTCGAAAACCCAAGGCAGTTTCAAAATCATCCAACTGTGATATATTATTATGCGACTACAATTAAAATATTAAATTAAGAAAAATGAATTTGTTAAAGAAAACAATAATTACGATTGTCTGACATCAGTTGTATCGGACCCATAAGCCAAGTAAAGCAAAGTAATAAACGTAAGCATTCCGTTTGCACAAATTCTGATATTTAGTGATAGTTACAGCGTTTATATTTTTTTTACATTGATAATACACGCTTGGGTAGGCAAAAAATTCCAGTCAGTGTAATGTTTTATTGTAAACGGGGATTGCCGGAGATATTACTATTATTGTCTGTATTTTTCTGATCGTAACCAGGGATCGAATTATTTTTGGAATAACAGTAGCTTTAAGGTGTCATATATTTCTCATTTCAGATTCAAGTTTCTTATATTTACTTATTTCGTCATATTCTTTAACCGATATATTCTTATCCTGATGGCACTGCCATATCAGAGAAGGTGTTTTTAAATAATATGTCTGGTCTCTCAGATTTACACGTCTGTCGGTATGAATGCTCAAATTCCAAAGAATAGTAACTTCACTATAACTGGTTCCTCATGAAGTGCATTGCAATATTGCTAGATCTTCCAATTAATCTATTGCCCAATCTTATCATGTTGATCCTGAACAATCCGACAATAAATGGTCAATAGATTCAACATGTTAACATAATCTATACACTGAGTCAGCACCATTTTTATTAAATTAGTTTTGGTCCTGTGCAACCATTGTAAATGCCTCCGTCTCCTTATAGACCTGAATTATTCAGCCACCGTTATGTTTTGTGTTTATTTACATAGGAATTGTTACTACATCTGAATGCATATTGGCCATCTAGTGGCTTTTGTTTTCAGATGTTTATTTTAATTTCTTTAACCCTTGTGATTTTGCATTCTTTTTTTAATGGATTTGTAATTTTGGTTGATTATTATTATTATATGGCCAGATTAATGAGTTATTCTAAATCTCTGTATTTAAAAAAATATATCTCTTGTTTTAAGATATATTGAAAGGTGATATAAATATTCATAAAACTTACTTGCAACGAGATCTGCTATGGTTTTATTCAGAATCGCATGCCGGTTGCTTTCTACGCTTTCAATGGAATGACAAACAGTGGTTTGGTTTTCTAAAATGGAAATAATATAATCTGTTCTGATAAAATAATTTCAAAGTTTCTTGATGGAGGGACTTTTAAAAGTTACGTTAATATTTTTAAAGAATTTTTCGGAATATAAAACAGTTTTAGCGTTTCAAAGTGGGGATTTCTTTGCTCAGTACAGTGGGACTTGGAGAGCATCGTTGTTGATAATATAGATTTACCTTTGTTAGATGGCAACTGCGAATAGTATCGACTGTATGGTTCATATTGCTAGGAATCAAAGGAAATACTACTCCATTTCTGTTCGTCGATTTTTCTATCAAAAAAAAGATTCGTTTCTATTTTCATTACGGATTTTATGTTCGAAATGCTGGGTAAGAAATCGACCAAACAAGTGTAGTAAAATAACAAAAGCAATACAAAGATAGAGGTCAACAGATCGAACAAATCTTGGAATGATAAGGATTGTTCTCACAGTTTACAGACAGTCTCTTCCATACTAGTTGAAGAAAAAAACTAGTAAGTAAATAATAATCAAGCACTCAAACAAACATTGATCGCCTTCGGCAAAAGAGGAAATGATTAAGTGAAAAGACGTCGATCTACCGATTCGGGGAAAAGATGTCATCAAATTTGATTTCGAGAAAACGTAAATGACCTGTGAAATAGAGGAAGAAGATTTAAAGAAATTTTAGTAGAATTCCTTTAAATTAAATATTGATTACCACAATGTAACTGTTTAGCAGAAAAGAAAATTGTATTTCTTTAAGATGAGAGTCACAAAAAGTGGCTAATTTTGAAGTTGAAAGTTATGAGTGAAATTGATCTTTAATAAAAAAAAAATTACATGGTATTATCTGTTAAATAGGAAAACTTCGAATGTGTTATCAACTTATTCAATAATCATTATAGAATAAGGAATACATCAATGAAAGACAGAAATAAAACATATATATATATATATATATATATATATATATATATATATATATATATATTATAATATCCAAGTATAGGTTTTGTGTAGACTGAATAAAATTTCAATAACCAAAAATGCTATTCTTAAAAGAGTGCTCAATACAGAGTAGACCAAATATTATTTATTCAAAAATGATAACATAAACATGTTATAACATCCCTACAAAAATAGCCATTTTGTTTCAACTCTTCTGGTGTTTTCTCAAGTGATGGTGTTGAATGTAGAAACATACATTTAATGTAGAAACGTTATACATTCAACACCATCACTTGAGAAGGCACCAGAAGTGTTGAAACAAAATGGCTATTTTTGTAGGGATGTTATAACATGTTTATGTTATAATTTTTGAATAAATAAAATTATATATATATATATATATATATATATATATATATATATAATGGTCATAGTTACGGTGTCATCAGGCGATGTTTTATTAACTGACCTCCTAACGCTTTTTATTAAAAAAAACAAAAAAACACACACACTTACACACACACACAAAGAACGCTACATTATTATTTTCAAAAATAAATAAACAAACGGACGATGATCAAACACATGTCATTAAGTATAATGGAAGGGAGGAGGTTGTGGAGAAGGAAGAAGAAGGAAAAGAAGAAGAAGAAGAAGGGCGAAGAGAAAGAGAGAAAAGCAAGCGTATCATAAATGTATAAAGAAAAGAAAGAAGTAGAAAACAACAAGTGTAACGTAAATGTAAGTGAGAGTGTAGAGTAAATGTAAAGGAGAGTTGGAAGTGAAGAAAAGCAGACGTATTAATTGTAAATATAACACTGGGATTTGAAATTACATTTTTTATCCAGCCTCATATTCACTTAACAAAAATTATTTGATATGAAGGCAAGGACTTAAAATTTCGACTTAAAATTTTGGGTCCGGAATTCATGGTTTTCTCATGTTGAAAAGACTTTTTTGGGTCCTTTTAAAATGTTTTTTTCATAACTCCTGCTGATTTTTTTCTTTCAATTTCTCATGTTGACATATATTGCAAAAATGCAGTTATGTTTATTTTGTATGGTTTTGTTATTTTATAGCTTTTAAAAATTTTTTTTATGATAAACAGTATTTACATTCACCCAGAGCAGTTATGAGACTGATCCCTGGTGGCCGAGTGATTTTTTGCAGGTTCGAATTGTCTAAATTTTCATATATATATATATATATATATATATATATATATATATATATATATATATGTAGATGGAATACATATATATACACAGACATGCACAGACACACTGCGTTTCAAATTATTAAAGTAGTGACATTTTTTTTATTTTGTGCAAAAATTAGCAGTCGGAATTTAAGGAAAATTTCACAGTATAATTGGAATAGATATATGAACTGGCTGGTATAAAAACTGTATTGTCTGCGCAACAAGAAACAAACGGTGGTTATTTTCAATATTAACACGATATAGAAGTGCTCTAGACTATAAACGAGTGTCATTATAATGGTGCAATTATGGGGCGTCGCAAATGTGACTTGACCCCCCTTCTGATAAACATTATAACATTTGAACTTTCCAAAGGCAAATCTATATCAAACAGCACCGAGAATCTTGACTAAAAAAAGCAAAGAATCACCTTCAGGAGAACCATCGTATTATGCTCCTCATTCAGTGCATAAAACTACAGAATACCTGCAGAAATTAGGCTTCTGTGGATCTCGGAAGAAGAACTACCGGTGAATTCTCCAGACTTAAACCCAACTGAAAATTTGTAGAGCATTCTGAAGTGACATGTTTATGAGAATGGCTGCCAATTTAGAAGCAAGGGTGACTTATGGCGGGAAATAGTCAACGTATCACGTGAAAATACATCAGATGAGATCCAGAAATTGATATGCTCGATGGACAAGCCGCTTTTCCAAGTCGTATTTAAAATAAGATCGCATATTTCATATTAACCAAATTCAATATCATTTTTGAACTATTTACTTTTTCGATTTAATTTCATCTTAGTTACTATATGTATCCATAAAAATCTGTAAATGAAGCAATTAAAATGTTATTTTTTTATTTACAGTTTTTTTTATATTACACCTAGATAATAATTTGACACACTAATAATAAAAGTAAATTAGGTAAATAACGTAACTTCTGTTCCTTTTTCATGAACCTTACATTTTTTAGAGAGTACTTGTAGTCATCATTCTCTGATAATTTCGTGAAATTCCAACGAGTAGTTTTTGGATGGTCAGAAATGTGTAATGTGAGTCTTCGTGTCAAACGTTGTAGTATGGCCTATATTATTGTTTACGAATTTTGACTGATCAGGAATAAAATTCCTTAATGGACATTTAAATTCGTAAATAATATTTGTCCTATTTAATTTTGATCTAAGAGGTGAATTCTTATTTTTAACTATAAAGTTAGAGGTTTTAAATTTTTTGTAATAAATAATCAATCTACTTTATTGCTATTGTTAACTGGTGTTGTGCATTTTTTTATAATGTTCTTAATTCTACTTTCGTCTTGTTTATAATTTTACTTCATTTGATTTTTATAAAAATATATATATATGTATATAGGCCATTCTACAATATGTTTGACACGAAGACTTACACTACACCTTTCTGACCATAGCTCAATTAGGTCTCATTTAAATATACATGGAGACCGGACACTTTTCGTAACATACTTGTTCACAACACAAATATAATAGCATCATCTACAGGCAAAAAAAAGGCTAAAAATAATGGAAGCCTTATTAATAAAAAGAAAATACCCAAAACTCAATAATATCAACGATGAACATGGACATAATATCTTGACCGTGTTTTGAAAATAAAAACACTATATAAATACATATATACAACAAACTATTTCTTGTTAACAGTTAATATATTTTAACTTTGAAAATTGGTAAATGTATAGCCAAAAGTACTCGGAAAAAAGAATATTCGGATAGTTTTTATATAATTTATCATTCCAAAAGTAAAAAAATAGATCACGTGAGAAATTGTATGAAAAACTAAATCAAAGCACCTTGTCTGTCGTATTCAATGAAATGTGCATGAGAGAAGGATTGCTACCTAAATACACAAATTATAATATATATATATATATATATATATATATTATAATATATTAAATATATTATAATATATATATTTATATATAATAATATATATATTATATATATACATTATTATATATATATATGCATATGTTATATATATATTTTAATATATATATATAATATATATTATAATATATATATATTATAATATATATATTATAATATATATATATATATATATGATATACATATATTATAATATATACATGTATTAAACCATACTGCATATATATTAACATCTATATATATTATATCTATGATAATATATATATTATAATACATATATGATAATATATATATATATATATATATATATATATATATATATATATATATATATATATATATAATCCATACGTTTATACATTATTTTGATATTTTTAAGCAGAAAATATATTAAATAACTGTTGGACAATACTTTTCCTAATATATATATATATATATATATATATATATATATATATATATATATATATTGGTTGGTAGGTAATCTAGAACGTGAACAAATTTAAAACCGTATTTAGTCATGCTGAATGACATAGTATGCAACCATGAAGAAATTCGTTGCGTATGACAAGATGAGCTCGACTTCAGTCAATTTGATAGAGTTGGAATGTAATGTAAGTAATGAAGTTATGAAATCCGATGTCTTTTTTGTCTTTCTATAGATCCTAATCTTTTTGTTCTTCATGCTGTAATTGTCGAATAGTTGGTGTTGTTGTCACTGGGTACTACAGAGTAAGACAAGTTGTGAAAATATGAAGGCCTTTTCGGATATGAAAGTGAAGGTAGTGCCGATAATTGTTGACACACCATGGATATTTATAAAACTCTAAAAAATATGCCAAATGTGTGAAAGTAAGAGTTTAGACAATATAAAAGATATCACTACTAAAATCTTCAAGAATATGATAAAAGAGAATGTCGAAGATTTTATTGTTATACAGCGAAGGCCACCGTATCATCATCATCATCATCATCATCATCATCATCATCATCATCAATACGTTGCATGACCAGGTGGCATTTGATAAACAAAGGATTATATATTCAAACTCTGTTATATACTAAGACCTGAAAAGAAGTTCTCCTCGGACACAGTTGCTGAAAATTAGCAACAACAAATAAAGTTATTTTAGGTGATACCTATCTTGAATGATATCGGCTAACAACAAATAAAATTATTTTCGGTGATATCTATCTTGAATGATATCGGCTAACAACAAATAAAGTTATTTTCGGTGATATCTATCTTGATATCTATCTTGAATGATATCGGCTGGAAATCAGGGCTGATAAATGTGACATCAAGAAAAGACAGGGCTTAAAAAACATATAACTAAATTGTTTCATTTTAAGAGAAATCTACTCACGCAAGCACGTACGCGCGTGCGCACACACACGCGCACGCGCACACACACACGCGCGCGCACACACACACACATATCCAGAAAGAGGCTTACACAGAGAGTCTTTTTTTCTTAATTTTGAATTTGATGTAACTACACATTTCACTTTCATTTATCATCACTTGCCTTGACAAAGTCGGATGATGAAATGCGTCAACAAAAACTAAGAAATATTTTCTAATTATATATATATATATAAATATATATATATATATAAACATTCAGGCATAACTAAAAATATATCTGTTGAAAGACAATATGAATAAAAACAGAACAAAACTTTTCTTTAACGACGCGTTTCGTCCTCTGATGGACTTTATCAAGGCAAATATGGAGATTTTATTTTGCAGGGAGTATTTATAAACATTTAAATTCTTGAGAATGCCGCCATCAAATCTTACTAAACTATAAACCTGCACATCGGATTTTTATTTCAAATATCTTCCTTCCTAAAAGATATACTCGTTTTCCAAGCCGTTTTTAAAATATTTTTATGATCATGTGATCATAAAAATTTAAAAAAACATTATAGAAAACGGTTAAATTCAAACCTTCTGTTATTTAATATAAATAAATGTGTAAATTTGTTTCTGAAACTAATATAAACGAATAATAATCACAAAACAACAACAACAACAACAACAATAACAACATTTACTCGCATTCGTTTATTAAGCATTAAATTACATCACTTTGCATCCTCCATACATAATTTTCACAATTAGTCTGAAAAATAATGAGCGTTCTTCAATTTAATTTTTTTAAAAAACTAACGACATTTTTACTCCTGTTTATGAATACGTTTTGCAAAATAAAATCCTTACATTAGGCGTTTCGTACATTTAGAAGAATAGCGTTGGTAAAGAAAAATTTCACTTTCTCTTTTTATACATATATAAAAATTTACAAAATTAACAATCAAAAACAAATAAAAGCTGCAGATAAAGTTCATTTTCTTCAGAAAGTCATTTATTCCTGTAGTTAACTGCTACTAACAAGCAGAATTTTTCCTCCTGATGATGGCCATGTTGGCCGGAACTAGTCGAGGAATAATAATAAAACAAAAAAATATTAATATACAACCCAGTGTTTCTGAAAATTTTAACTTTTTAATTTCTCAATATTTTTTGTTCAAAACACACACACATATATATATGATAAAATGAATGATGTGAAAAATCCCAACAAAGTATGTAGGATAGAATATATGAAAATCAGTTGTTTAATTATTCTAATTTATTTATTCTGTTAGCAACATTTCGTTAAGTAAGTACATCGTTAGAACAAGTTCAGAAGTTAATAAAATTAAAAATAAATTTTGTGACCAAAATAAATATCTGTCAATTAATTATCAATATGATTTGTATATAGGAAAATGTTAATATATATATATATATATATATATATATATATATATATATATATATATACCCTGAAACTTATTGATTGGCATCTATATACCTGCTGTAGAAAACTTTAGAAGAATACAAATACTTATTATTAAAGCCCTCGCCCCCTAAAATGATCAGGACCAGAAAAGGACAGTTAGAAAATAATGATGATTACAAAAGCTCACATAATGAGAAATATTATCAATTTGTTCAAACTAATTTGTATTGTTAATTAATAAAGTAATTATGAATAATTTGGAGAATTGAGAAGTCTAGGTCCTACCAGTGTGAAAAGTACACATGTGCATTATTATTATTATTAATAATATTGACCTTACCTATTAATGAGCATTTTTTCCAAAGGCCCATCCGGCTGACTTGATACTCCAATACAACCTCAGTTTTTGCGTCAATTAAAGCTGGTTCACTTACGTAAATCCAAAAATCAGTGGCTACAGCAATCGACAGAAAGAGTAGAGTTAAGGCCCCAAGGGTAAAGGCAAGAATCGAAAGAGGCCTACGACCGCAGGTCATGGCAAATGTCTCTGAAGAAAGAGAAGAAAACAAAATAAGTGGTCGATTAATAGGAAGGCTGCGGGGTCTGCGATCTGTCTCGTATTACAGGAATAGCAAAGTGTTCTGATTGGCTGACGAACGAGTTGGAAGGTGCACAGATAGATGATTGGCTTGTTCTATTCGACAGTACAGAAGAGGAAATTATATTAGAAAAGCAACGAATAAATGAAAAAAAAAGAAATAAAAAAGAAAACAATAATAAAAAGAAACACGGAAGAAAAGGAAGAATTAAGGAAAGGGAATGAACGGATAAAAGAACAAAATGTAGAGAACTAGGAAAAGAATAATGAAAATGATTAATGAAGTTGATAATGATACTGATGATAGTGATATCAGAAATGATGAAGAGGTAAAGGACAGGAGAGATGAGAATGAAAACCTATCTAAAGACTGAGGAGAAAGAAGAAGAAATAGGCAAGAGTATAAGAAAGAGAGGAAAAGGAAGTGAATTGTAAAAAGGAAGAAAAAACGACATTGAATAAATAGAGAAAAAAAGGAAAAGAAAGAAGGCATAAAAATGAAAAAAATAGGTAAAGGATTTAAGCTAGAAAAAGAAGAAAAGAAAAGCAAATAAAATGAGTAAAAGAAAAGAAGAAGAAATAAATGGAAAAAAACGATCTGATAACTAAAAGAAGAAAAAAAAGAAAGCGAGAAACAAGTAGATGAAAGGGAAAAGAAAGAGTAGAACTGGAGAAAGAAAAGAGAAACAACAAAAACAACAACAACAGTGAGGGCACTTCTATCACAACAACCACAATATTAAGAAGAAGAAGAAGATCATTAAAAAAAGAGGAAAGAAGTCGGTCTTTTTAGAGAGTGATTACTTGGCAAAAGAACCAACATCAATCACATTGAATCAAATGCACAGAAAAGCATATTTTCCGCTTGAATAACATAATTCGGATTCCTCAAGTTTCGCAAATGTTTGGCAACAAGCAACAACAAATTAGACTTCCACCCAATCCCACTATTTTTCCTTTTTCTCTGCTAAGTTTTCATCTTAATTTTTTTTCATTCTAAATCTCATTTTATCCTCGATTTCTTCATCCAGCAATTGCTTCTTCATATTCTGGGTAAAAAAATGAATGATTAAATAAATTATAATCGGTAACTTCATTATTATCTTCAAAATGTAACATTTCTCCGATCCTCATCACCGTCACTCCGACCAATATTTCTATCTTATTAACGCCGCCCTAGGACGACATTCATCATCATCATCATCATTGGTACCGACATTAGCATTATTTTCGTGATTAACTTTTGCCCTCTCTCTTTTCTCTTTCATTTCCATTTCGTTCATTATCAGAAACATTATCTAATTATACTAAATGTAGTGATGAATACTTTTTGCTTGGGATTTTGGCTAAAACACGGATAACTTTCAAGAAATTCTACTCAGGCGTCTTCTCAAACTATCTTCTCCATTTTCACCCAAATACTGACATGCAATAATAATTAAAACAAAAAAGAAACATTGAATAAAATGACTGAAAAATACACGATAAAAGTAATATATGTTCTCATATATTTAATGATAATTTTATACATTTACTCTTTTCTTATGATTTGCTCCTCCTTGTTTGATAATTTTTATTTTTTTCCGAGTTATGATAAGTTGAGCGATATATGTCCAAGATATTTTGGTGCCTATTATTTTATTCGTCTGAAGACCCAGCCTACTCCTGAAGAGTTGTGAGCAGAAGTCACAGAGGAGTATGAGTCGTGAAAGTGGCTGGGTGAGTCGGACCCTCTTGACAGCACGTCACAGTTCCTCTTCATATTGATGATTGAACTCGAAAGTCTCGGTCCCACCCTCAGATGGCCCTACGCCAGGAAGGCTGATTTGCAGCAACAGATTCCCAGGTCTCAGGGTCGATGTTGGCCTGTGTCATGAATGTCTCCAACTGATCTTTGAAGTGTTGTTTTGGGCCTCCAATGTAACCTCTAGCCGCTGGCGTGTTCTCCAAACAGGGTGATACATAAGATTCGAGTGGGACGCATTATGGACACGTAATCCACTCAACTAACCAAAACTGCCCCTATCAAAGAGAGTTTGACGAGTTCATTCGCGTGATTTTGGTGGACAATTCTGCGTGATGGAGAAGCCCACACACTTGGTCAGAAGCACCTCCCTCGCGGCTAAAACGGATTGAGACAGGTGAAACCAAACAAAACTGTTTGCATCGGGCTGTCGGATGCTGGGTCTGTCAAGGTTCGCCTTAATTAAGCCAGCCCGATTGACGCTGCTATCTTCCGCCAGTTTGGCCTTTGCGATCATGAAGGTCATTGCCTATTCCGCCGTTGGAGTCTTCGGGGTTTGTCGCGTTCTAGTCGCTCCTCCTTGATCTTATCGCCATGGGTGACCCTACAAGTGTTGGAACTTCAGACGGCTTCTCTATTGGGTTTATTAGGACACGCAATCGATGACAAGGAGCGACCATATATATTTTACGCTGGATGGCGGAGTGAACAGTTCATTATCAAAAGTACCTTTTTGACAATAATAGAAACGAATCATAAGAAAAGAGTCAATGTATAAAATTATCATTAAATATATGAGAACATTTTTTATTATTATTGTTGAGTTAAACCACAGTAGTTTTGTAAGTTTGCCATATATATATATCCAGGAAAAGATCGCCACAGTTAAAATCTAAAATACGATTAGAAATTTTCAGACGCAGAAGAAAATATATAACGTGATCTATGAATATAAAAGACAATAGGAAACTGTAATAGTTGCCAACGCGTTTCGTCCAATGTGGACTTTTTCAAGGCAAAACGAAATGAACTTATTAAACAAAGTAACAAAACAAGTGCTGCTTACCACAGCTTCCATTTTCGCCATTTGACTGGTGCGGGGTCTATTGACTAGTACGTTTGTCACCCCTTAACTACAGCTCTGACAGCACCCGTGAGCACTGAGGAATTGGTCAACTATACGAAATAGCATGTCCTTTCTTACACCGGGGTTCCCGCTGCAACGGTGTATTTTCATTATCTCGTCTGCCTCCTCCATAGAAGCAGCACATACCGGTAGTGCAGGCTCAATGTCCTTTTTTATGGCGTCGTACCACCTTTGTGGCACACATGTCAACCTGTCAGCAAGGTTGCAGTTTGATGTTACTAATGTTAATTCACGGACAGATCATATTCAGTGGCTAGTCTCTTGATACTCCAACCTCCTGATCAGCATATCGCTCGCTGCCTTGGTATACGCATAAAGAGTCAGTCTGTAGATGCAACTTTTTAACCCTTTACTGGAGCGCTAAGTTGACGCCCTTCAGTACGGTGTCCAGCTCTGCTAGGTGCGGAGTCACTTATTGGTCGCAGCCAGCACGCGTCCTCAATTGCCGTTCTGGGTCCATGCAGATTAAGCCAAACTGGGCGAGTTTAGCTCTTACCTGCTGTGATGACACGATGTCATCGTTTGCATAAATATCATCGATGTACGCTGAAGTCCCTTCTTTTACTTCAGAAAACACAGCACTGATAATTGCCTTCATTATCTGCAGTACCACGTTCAATCCAAAGCCCAGTCTGGTAAGGCAGTACCTTCTGAAGGCAAACATCACCGTCTGAAAAGGCCACAATGAATCACAAACACGAATTTGAAAATAGGCCTTTCTTAAATCCAGCAAGGATCCATGCTGTCGCCATTTCCGCAGTTTGCTGGCACAAGTATCAGCATCAGCTGTGAATGCGTTGGCATATTAGTTCAGCTCTCTGAAATCCGTTACGAATTTGACTTTTGACTTGTTCGGTTGCACAATCGCTATCAAAGGGGCCAGGCCTTTAGAAAGTCCAAGTTTTCTATGAGGATAAAGAATCAACCAGCCATCTTCAATCCATGCGTAGAGCTCCTTTTCGTACGCAGGTCTTATTTGGTCGGGCACATGGTATTCAGCTACGCGTTTTGCAGCATGGCTGGCTCCCGGTCTCCTGTCCATTTCCATGAGGCAGTCCAGAACTGACGCTGGTCAAATACAATACTGAAGTCGGGTTGGTCAATCTTGAGTGCTGCACATACGGGGGCCTCCTTCCAAAACTTCACTGTTCCAGACTGCGAGATAAGAACACCACCTAAGGCTTTGATGACGTCATAACCCAGTAGTAGGTCAAAGTTTAATAGCTTCTCACGCACCACCAGAGCTTCGACGTCAGCGAAATTCCCAGTGTTTGCACAGATCCTGACTACCCCTATCCCGTTACATGCGCGCGTTTCACCATTTATGGTGGTCACTTTGACTTTCCTCTTTTTCCAAGCTTGGCAAAGTCCAGCATTTACTATAGTGCGAGAGAACCCGGTATCAAGGAGCGCTGAGTATGGCGTCTCATTGACGTAGATTTGGATGACCGGCAGAGCCTCGTTTATACGTTGTCTGAGGAAGAGATTGGCGCCATCTTGTTTCCGGCCTCGTTTCCCGTGCAGTCCCAAGCAATATGTCCGACCTCATTGCATCGATAACAACGCACATGCACTACTCGTTTTCTATTCATGCAGTTTTTTGTTACATGGCCTCGACCGTTGCATTTATAGCAGACGATTCCGGTGCCTGAGCCCGTATCAGAGGAAGCTTTAACACTGGTTTGCTCGTGTGGCCGCGACAATGGGTTCCTCTAAAGCAGAGTCATCTTTCAAGATAGATCTTGCCCGGTCCAATAATTCGTCGAGCGCTAGCGAGTCTACACAAGAGTTTGCTCGTAAAAGTTGCTTTACTCTAACCGCGAACTCTGCTAAGAACACATTCTAACGCTCGTTCAGGTAGTCTGCCAAACAGGGTCGCCATTGAACTCTGTAGGTCATTAATTGACCCATGTCCTTTGTGCATACATGAAAAATTATACATTAATAAGTTTCTGAAAAATAAAAATTTACTTAAAGAAATGAAATAGCTATTTTTTGTAGACAGTGTCAAATATTTGCCTTAAATAATGTTTAATTTTGAAAAAGAAATGAAAGATGAAATACACATATTTATACTTGATCTTTGATTAATAATTAAAAAAAAAATACGAATGTAATTCTAATTTAATATATGTATTTAAAAAATAACGTATAGTCTATTAGTTATTAGAAGTAGAAAAGTACTTTAAATTTGCAGAAATAAATTTTTAAATATTAAAAAATACGATTTACTCATATTCTGATGACCCCTTTGTGTATAATATTATAAAGTGGCCGAGTAAAAATGCCAAAAACTTTATAATTGAAAAATCTATACGGACGTCATTGTTTGTGAGCACCTCCTACCCCACCTTAACATAACCTGATTTTGAAAGTAACTTATAGTTGATACATAATTTCTGGTGAAATTAACATCCAAACACCCTATATCAAAATGATTGAATTTTTCCGTAACCCTAGCAGTTTAAAATACTAAAATTGTCTGTGATTATAGGTAAACTTCTTAGGTTATTAAAAAAAAATCGCTTGATAATAGAATGGAACTATGGGTTTTAAATTTAATTTTATAATTAAGTTTAAAATTTTTAGTTTCTATTTTGAAACATGGTAATTCCTGTGTAGCGATGGGACCATATTTTTAAAAGAGAAAATAATTATAATATTATGCTCTACTGTTTTGTATAGAGTACTTTTTTTTTAAATAAAAATAATTACTAAGAACACCGGATTGTAAATCTTACTGTTCTTTCTTATATATATATATATATATATATATATATATATATATTATATATATATATATATATATATATAATCTTCTGTCTACGTCAGCTGTAGGAGAAATATCGTGAATAATAGATGCCACTATATATTATATGACTTTGTTTGGCATCCTTTCTTATTGAACCTTGCCTTCAGACATTACAAAGAACCATATTTGCACACAAGGAGCAGAATGGTAACCTGTTCGACTTGGCCCGCCTGAGGCCAAAGGTTAAGTACGCACAGGCCTCATCAAAGCAATGCTGTTTGCTGATGACGCAGCTCTGACCACACACACTGAACGTGACCTCCAGCAACTGTTAGTTCAACTCTGCCTATAAGGAATTCGGGTTAACTATACGAAACCTGAACTACATATGCCAAGCAGGAAAAACGTTTGGAAATCTTCCATGAATGCTGTCTACAACGTATTCTCGACATCACACAGAGAGAAAAAAATACTAACAATGTTGTTGGCGTAAACAGACTTCTGGAGCATGACACTTTCGTACGGACGGTTGTATACCAAAAGACTCCATGTACGCTGAACTGGCTACGGGACGTCTGTAAGAGGGGCCTGAAACCACTGACTGGAGGTTCTTTTCGAGAGAATTTACTAGTTTTAATTTGTCGGATCAGTCGGACTTTCTACTAAGACAGGAGTAAAAAGTTGTGTCATCTGCATAAATACCAAGTTGGGAACTGATGACATTAGTAAGGTCGTTGATGAAGATAAAAAACAACGTAGGTCCAAAGGAAGAGATCTTGGGGATCCCTGAATTAATGTGAAATGATTTAGAAACGTGCCTGTTTAACACGACTTTCATTACACGATTTGTTAGGAATATTTGGAATAAGCCAAATATTAGTCAAGAAACGACATAGCCGTTGAACTTGTGGAGAAGAACAGTATGGCAAAAACTGTCGAACGCCTTTTCAGACTATGGCGTTACTACGGTTTTCAAGAATACTGAAGAAGGTGCTGGAAATTTGCAGTGAATCACTGTCACTCAATATCTACCAGACATTCGGTCATAAAATACAAATACATGTAATAATAGACACGTCTACATAAAACAATAGTACCCTGTCCGGTAGGAAAAGCTGATGGTGCTGTCAGGGGTATGTAGAAAATGAAGTTATTTGCATAAAGAATCCTTGCACACTTCTTGTCCACACAACTCTGCCAGTGATATTCTGGTGTCCTCTATGATTAGGTCTTCATCATATTGTTTGTTGTCTTTGTAGGATTTATACATAAAGCTTCGACTTCTCATTACTTGGCCAAACAAGTTTAGCTGCCTTATTTAGGGTAATTCTGTTAGTTTTCCTCTACAGCAGCCATTAAATAATAATAATAATAATAATAATAATAATAATAATATAAATATATGAATGATCAAGTTTATTGCATTACTTTTACTGTTATTTATATTCGAGTGATATTAACACAAAAATTGTAAACGACGAGGAGAGGAAATAAAAGGAGTCGCCATTAATAGAATTTTTATCTGAAATTTCACTTTATAATATTTGATCTATGTAATAGAATTATACAAATCAGAGGCCATTTGAACCGTCCAAATATTTATTGATTTTTGTCTCAATCCACTCTTTTCTTTATATATTTATATTATTAGAAATGACGTTCTAAATTGAGAATTTTATGAATGATATTCTGATGAGATCAAGCAAGTAAATAATGTGTACCGGAGCGTGTTCGTCAGTGTATGTATGTACATATGTATTTATAGATATACGACCATATGAGCATGTGAATTCAAAAGGTGTTGTATATGTAGGAAAAAATCAAACAAAGTTTTTATATTTGCAGCCAGGATTATGAGCAGTGAGCAATTTCTAAAACTGCCCCACTTAACCATTAGCCTCATGGGCTCGTAAAAACAGGATATATATATATATATATATATATATATATATATATATATATATATATATATAAGACAAAGACAAAAGAAAAACTTCTCTTATATATATATATATATATATATATATATATATATATATATATATATATATGTGTGTGTGTGCGTGCGTGTTCTTTAAAAAATGTATTGTAATTTGGTCAGTTAGATAGAAAGCCGCAGTGACATTTGTCGGCTATAGTAAAAAATATCTTGATTTAAAACATTCATGGAGAATCACAATTTCTTCTGAAAAGCAACTAAAACAATTTTCAATAAATGCATGATGAAATGTACTAAAATTCTTCTTTTCCTAAAAATGTCCTGGTAATTAAACATTACCTCATTTATATTTAAAAAAAGTACCAATAGTATAATTTGTGCTAATACTTAAGTGTTTCTTCATGGTTAGTGAGAATGTCACATAAAGGTAAGATTATAATTTTGGTAGTGATGTGTAAATTTTTTCCTAAATATTCCATGCCAAAAACTGGGTGCTTCCAGTGCGTGGGTGCGCCCAATAATCCGGCAAATACAGTAATTTATTTTTCTGCGCCATCTATGCAACAAATATGTACATGATATTTATCATTTATTATCTCTGTATATAACTCAGTTTTCAAGTATATATATATATATATATATATATATATATATATATATATATATATATATATATTTTTTATCATATAGAAAAAAATTTATTCACTTCGTTTCGGTGCATTTCAACTGCACCTTGACAGGTGAGAACCGAAAATGGTTATGAACAGTTCTGCTAGTAGGCAAGGCGTATGTGAAACGTCACTTCCTTTTTTCAATTTGCTTGAGAAAAAATATACATAAAACAAAAAGGTGACGGAGTGAAACAGTAGTGCTTGTTGTTAGCAATTTGGTGAAGGATGGATAGGGTTTTGAATGCTGACTAATCTGGGAAGATGCACAGAAATGAAGTTGCATCTTTGTAGTGAGTAAACTGTTTTTGTCTATATAAAATTATAATAAATAATTATCCCTCTACTATCGGTATCGAGCTCTCATTTGAATTAATGCTGTGAACGTTAGAATTTATATATTACTTTCGTTGTCATTACATTGGATTATATATATATATATATATATATATATATATATATATATATATATATATATAGTTAGTGCTGGTGGTATGAATAAAACTGCTGATGTAAATTAACAGAGCTAAAATTTATACTAAGTATAAATAAACACGTAGAAATCGTCACTCACAAATTTAAAACTGGCCGTTGTAATATGTCATTATTTAAGTCCATTTACTTAAGCGCTTAATAAGTTACCAAGTTTTATAAAAAAGCGCGTGAAAACTGAGAAAAAGAATCTAGAGAAATAGCTGCTGATTTAAAGATTGTCTAAGCAGCAAGTTTTTATTAGTATTAAGGACCACAAATCCAACTTCCAGAACAATCGTCAGTATAGATTACTTAACCTTATGAAAAATAATATAAGAAAAAATGAGTAAAATCCTTCTCAAAAGCGCATGTATACATACACGAAATGAATTGAGGTTAATCCGTGACATTATACGAAAAATAAAAACGAAAAATGAGTTTACGTTCATCCGGTTTGATTTCTACCCGTCAATTACTAAAGTGCTTCTAATGGATGATATAAACTTAGCTTAAAACTATCGCAAAATTATCGAGAAGGAAATAAGAATAACAGACAGGTCCCAAAACCTAGGCTGTATCATAACGGATGTATGTGGGCTAAAAGAAAAAAATGATGAATTAAACATTGATATAGGGTTGGTTGTTGTTTTGTTTTATGGCATATCAACCTCAGTGGGTCATTTAATGCCAACAAAATTTTTGAAATAGATTCATAGCGATAGTTTGGTAAAAAAAAGGTGTGTATGTATACATATATAT